GATAACTATCAAACTTCACACATAATAACCTTGTAATCTACACATTAAAGACAATATGTTTTTTTTCTTTAGTAACGCAAGTGATGCAATTTGTTGTTCCTTTCTATGTTGTTGGATCTTTTGAAGGCAAATTCTTTTTATGTTGATTTTTTTCTGCTTTATTTTTTTTGAAACTTCGACGCATACATAACGAGTTTTATTCACACCTTTACATGTATATTCGACTTATCGTTTATCACGAAAAATCGTTTATTCGACTTATCGTTTATCACGAAACAACGTTTATTCGCCTTATCGTTTATCACGAACAATCGAAATATTTCCATAGCCTGAAATCAAACATTAGCACTTTACATATTAGAAAATTATTAACAAATACCTTAGAAATATACTTAATGTATATTATATAATAAACTTAAAAGGTTATAGAATAAGTATTATATTTACCTTCAGAGACATTCATCTATCTAAAGAAAAGTGTTTTTTTAATTTTTAATCCTCTATAAATATAAAGATACATGTATAACAGAGAAAATTCCCAGAGGAAATTTACTTTCTTTACTGTCTAGAGAAATAAATATAGGCAACATTTATTCTGAAGATACATTATCAATTAAGATAAAATAATTTAGATAATGCATATATTGTATTAAACAAATAAGATTTTATATCTTATTGACATGAAAAGGTCACCAAATAATATCTTGACTCACTCCCGATAGAAATTATGGTTTGTGTCCTGTTTGTTTGTTTTTGTAGCATCTATGCGCCGTCAAACACCCAATATCTCCCAGCCATGTTGTACACATTTAATTATCTTACCTTGAAACCTTACTATAAGAAATATATACACCATACGCACTATGATAAAATACAAGTACGAGACTTCATAAAATATACGAATAACTTATCCCATTACTATGTCATTGACTGTCAAGTCCATAAAAGCAGATGTTGTTAAGATAATACTAAATAGAACGAAGGAAGGATTTATTAAGATAATCCAAAAATCACTAAAAAAAAACAACAAAATATGCGACATTTTGTTCATTAATACCAAGTAATCAAACTATGCTTTTACAATACTACCTAAAACCTCAGCGTTGTTAAGACAAGAGTTCAATTGTGATATTTGTTTATTTGTGTTCTGTTGGTTTGTTTATCAATTTATAGTAAAAAAGAAGTACATTGAAATTTTGCATTGTCTAAAGCTCAACTTCAACAATAATGACTGGAATAATAGCTGATTAACAATGAACTGTATTTTATACGATATATCAAAGTAACCGTCCGGTTTGTATTTTTATAATGTTTCACTTGTTTTGATTTTAATGCTTGTTCCTTGTTGTTTTGTTGTTTTTTCACTTTTTTCGCTTTCTGCTTATAATTAACTTTAAAAAAACTAATTTTGATTCTATATGTACATTCGTTTCGAAACAGGCGTTTTATCTGTATTTTATATTTTCTATTTTTGGCTACAATTTAGAAGAAATAAAGTTTCAAAAATAATTTTTTTCATGATGTGGAACTCTTCATTTTTTATCATGATATTACATGTATTTCTGTTGATAAAGTGCATGCCTGATAAATTTACATTTATCAGTCACCCTCAGCTTTATCAATACATACATATTTTGAAATAAACTGAAGAGAATGGAATGATTTTTAAGTCTTACTATTTTTAAAAATATTTAACTGATCAACTTTGAATCGGATATAATTTTTAATATTAAAGTCTCTCTTACATTTCGGACTATTTGTTATTGATTTGACCTTGGGTATAACTGCGCGCGGCATGATCTCGAGATCCTCTTGGCAGCTCAAGGTTTTTGTTTTCTTTGAAATAAAAAAAAGAAAAAAAAGGAAACGTATATAAAAATTTAAAACATTATGATAAATAGAGGATATTGATTGAGTGTAGTTTTATACTAAATTTATTGAACGAGTTGAATAAAATCATATTATTCGAGCCTCTGGCGATCATAATATTGTTTTATTCAACGAGTTCAATGCCGTGTGGCGGCTGTAAAAAGTCTCCCCGTCATTTAATCAATGATGTTATATTTTCGATCCTTGAAGATCGTTCAGCACGACATTATTGTTGTGCTTGTGGTACTTTTAGTTTCAACTTTTCGGCATTTTCTAGTTGGGTGGTTCCAATATTCCTACTTGAATAATGTTGAATCACCCTTAGGATATGTTGCCTGCTTTTAAAATTTGTCTTTTGACTTCTTATCTGTGATACGCAGGCTTCATAACCTCTGATCCCCTTTCAAAATTCTATTTTATTTAGTTCCGCCCATTGTTTTCTCGTTTAGGGCACACGCTTTTTATTACTTGGGGACCATACGCCGCTTTTCATGGAATGGCACGGAAGTGTCACATTGAAGGTTCCATGATAACCGCCGTATGAACACATCTGCGGATGTTTCTAGATTCAAAATTCTACCATTTCATGTTTAAATGTTGAATTCTGCTTAAGCCGGTGCTAGGGGGCGTGGACGGTAATTTGCACTTTCCAGTACCGTCCATGAACAGGCTCAATCAAACCGAGCCTGCAACATTTTCAATTTTGCCGTGTTGGGCTTTCTTTAGGGATTCTTTATTTATCTATTTTAGTATTTAATCTACACGAATATAATATTCTATTTATCACATATATAAAAAAAGAGCAGTAACCTGTTAAAATTAGTAATTTTTAAATGACGTGCCTGTAGTGTAACGCTAGCATTAGCGCGCTGTAACGCTATGTTTCTTTATTACCCTTCCAGATTTTTTCCGCCTTTTTGATTGGATATTGATCACCTGAAAGAAATTGATATAACCGAGCCAGACGGGTAATATACACATTAAATTTCCCCGTTGGGTACCCAACGCTGTAAACGACATGCGCTGAGGTGATGCGCGTACGGTTCGATTTTACGCCGTGTAAATTCCGATTTACAAGCACTTTTAACTGTCAAATGATAAATATTTACCAAAGTGGAGTAATGATACAAATTCCCATCAGTATTGAAAACAAATATGACCTTGTAAAAGCTTCATATTAATTACAAAAATGTGCTTTCAATAGACTGCTCCTTTTCTCTTCTTTACATTCGTTAGGTACGGGATAAATACGTCATAAATTTATGTGACGTCATGTTGTGATGAAGAGGTATCCTAAAGGGAATCTTATTTCGACGTTTCATTTGAAACAGCAAGGATTTAAAAAAAAAACGTTTAAACTCGGCAGGGGAAGGGTAATAAAATTATTTTTTTGGTATTGGAGTGATATACATGTATGTGGATATATTACATGCCAAGATAAAATATCACCCTCGCCTAACGGCTCGGGTGATATAAAATCTAAGCAGGTAATATATCCACATATATCACTCCAAAACCAAAATAACATATAATATAGCGCAAATGACGTCACGTCAAAGTGTTATTACATTTGTGTAACATCGTTTTTATTACTAGTAAATGTCTTAATTACAATCCTGCGCCGCGGTTTATGTGATTATATATAAAATAAACAGCAAGTGCCTGATATTATAAAATTTATCAGGCTCGGAATAGGCCAGTCATAATAGAAATTATGGTAAAACTAATTCCTTCACAAATGTTTTCACGATTAAATAAAAGATAAGCATTATCTACATTTTGAGAAAAAAGTCCTCAAAAAATCTCCTTGCAGAATCTTGAAAAATCGATCATAAAGATATAGTAAAAATCGATAGTTAAATGTGTCTCTTAAATTACACCATACTTTAATTTTATGCACGTTCGGTGACGTCACGTTTATTGTATTTTCGTTGAAAGATTTGAAGTTACTTCAATTCCAGCATTCCTAGTGCAAAGGTGAGTAATTTTAGTCATTTTTATATTCTTCTGTATAAATTTTAGGGAAAAATATGTCAGTAGATAGATTTAATTGACCACCAATCAATCGATTATGCAGATGACAAAATGTGTCATATAATTTCGCGATTTTAAACACAATTTTGAATGAAGTAATCATTAAAAGAGAGTTTATCTTTTACACACTGTTCTACATTGTTTTCTTTTGTACAATTATCTAAAATGGCACAGAATTAACCACACATCTTACTGAGTATTTAAAAAAATGTGTATGCACAAGTTATGTAAATTTTTCTTCTCTACGGAAGCGTGTTGTGACCAAAATCACGAAAATCTAGGGATATTTTTAAAATGTTAAATTTGACTTATTTCAAAGAGTTGGCATGTTTTATGAATTGTGGAAATCATAATTAAATCAAATAATATGTTAACTTGCTGTAAACAAACGTATTTTGTAATACATAATGCATTTCTAAGCGAATTCCAGCATGTTATATGGAAAAAAAAGACAGCGTATCCAATAGGGTGTAATCAAGTTAAAACTATTACCTGTTAATGAGAAGTTGTTACTGGAACTTTATACATTACTTTTACTTCTTAACAGAAGACATGGATTTAAAACCCAAATTATTATGCCAATTATTTGATTCTTTTGTAGGTTCAGTCATATCATAATTATGTATCTGTGAGTATGGGGTTATAGCAAATCTAAAGATAATTGAGCGTATTCACTTGAAATAGTGTAAAAGAATTTTAAATGTTAGAGCCAATACAAGCAATGTTCGTATATACGGCGAACTCGGCCGTTACCCATTGTATATAAATCGATACGTAAGAATAATTAAGTTTTGGTGCAAATTGATAAATACTGACAATATTATTTTACGGAAAACATATGAATTAAGTTTATCTGATTGTTATAAAGGTAAAAATCTGGGTATCAAATGTTAAAGAAATCCTAGATATATATGGTTTATCCGAATACTTTTTTGAAAATAATATCGTAGAATCTAGATAGTAAATTATTTCCAAAAATATTTAAACAAAGAGTTATTGATAATTATATACAAATATGGCATTCATTCATCTGTAGAAAATAATTCTGTTTTAGAACTTTATAAAAATTGTAAAGAATTATATTCATACGGAAACTATCTTAACATATTACCTATGGATCCTAGGTTTTACATCACAAGAATTAGAATGTCTGCGCATACACTAATAGTACAAACGGGTAGATATGGTCAAAATAGAATCCCAAGGAGTGAAAGATATTGTTTATGTTGTAATACTATGGATTTAGAAGACGAATATCATTTTGTTTTGATATGCCCATGCTATGTTGACATAAGGAAAAAAATATGTGAAACGATATTATTACAAATGTCCACCAATGTGTAAATATTGGACTGAATTCTTCTAAATAAAGTTATACTCACTAATCTAGCTAAATATCTGAAAGAATCGATTAAAATCAGGAACATTACTGTTAGTACTAACAACTGAATTTTGATATTTTGTTACAAATTTATACTAAAAATTCAATTTGTGTATTTATATTGTAGTGATGATGCACTATGTACAAATCCAAAACAAAATTGTTCTGTTCTGTTCTTTACAAAGTTTTATATCTTATGTTTTAACTATTTTTATTCTATCATTCTAGACAATTTGGATAAGTCTTATAATCTAATGTCAAAATGCAATAGATTTCACTTATCAAAATGGTTTTAAAACACAAAATTTACTTAAATACTAAGATGACATATTCAAAGAGAAAATTAAAATGAGGTGTTAACAGACCAGCTTCAAATTTGCATTTGATATAGATTTTAATCATATCTTTTCCGATCCTAAACCATTTTATTCTTATTATAACATATTAAATTTGCTTCAATTGTTTTCTTTCTAAATGTTGTGTAGCTTGATAATCTACCCAGTGCCAGTTGTATGTATATTTTAAGTTATGTTTTCCATGTTGTTGTCAGCATTTATAGAACAGTTGTTGTATAATTAGTTAGAAGATGGATAGACACGTGACTTCTACAGTCTACACAAGGGGTAATGGGATGTGAGAGAAAAATGGCTTTTTACGTAGATATATCTTATTGAATGAATAAAAACAAAACAATTGGGTGTCTTTCCGGTTTGTTAATACAACAGAAATTGATATATTAACAACACAAATTTACATCATTGTTTTACAGCATGATTATAATAAATGCACATACAAAAGAGTTTGCTCATACCAACATTTTCTCAGGCGTTTCCCTATTATATCATTTCAATACTATTTCTTTTTAATATCTTTTTGATAATGTTTTATGGACTTTATATATCTTATTTTCAGAGGAAGGGCTAAACATAGTATGGGATGGTTGATTGCAGAAGACAATATTAAGCAAGAGTCCAGCCTTTTATATTTTGGCGAACATAAATCAATCCGTTGATTGGATGTGGCAAGAGTTTTCCATATTTCCAAGTTAGGAGATGCTAAATGGGTTCTGTTTGAAAAGATCCAGCATTTTTGAAAAGCAATTAACAGGTAAATCAAAGAAAACCCTCTATATTTTTAATACACAGTTGGTGTACCAGATTCAATTTTGTGTGCTACTGCATATATAACTTTTCTAAAGGGAATTCACATTTGTAAAAGTTAAATGGTTTTCTTTTAAAAGTGTTTTATTTTTAGTGTCCAAAACTGCAGTTTTCTTACATTCTCGGAATTACAAAGATCAGAGATTTGTTTGTTGGTTTTTATGCCACATCAACACTTTACAGGTCATATTATAACTTTCAAGCTTTACTGGTGAAGGAAAAAGTGTGACATAGGTATTATTTTTAGCGCGTAGAACCACCAATATTCTATAAGCTAGTTTGGGAAAGCTATGTCAGATAATAGATTCCAAAACCCAGGCAGGACTCGAACCTACATCGTTAACACCGTAAGAAGCAAGTGTTTTGAAGTCAGTGACCTTAAACACTCGACCAAAACTTCCAATGAAAGTATAGGTGCCGTTTTGTTCAGTATTTCTTACTTATATGGCACATTACGATGTTTCATAGTTAGCGCTTATTTCAGCCGATAGGCAATTTACACGCTTTAAATTTATTATAACAATATAACATGAAACATATTTTCTAAAGAAGAAAGCTGAGGCACGTTTTTCCTGAGGCTAAACGTGCCTCATTAATGTATGAATTTTTGAAGATAATTCAATATAAAAATATAAATCTAAAAGCACAATCCTATCTTGCTTTTCATAGTACCTACATTTTCAGTTTGACATAAAATTGTTTTATTTTAAAAGCAGAATGCAAAGTTCGCATTTTTATTTATCATCTTATGTTGTAACAATTTTACAGATGCGAAACAATGTGTCTCTGTGAAAAGGGCAGGCTAAAGGTTTCAACAGCACCGGCCGAAAAAGTGGATTTATTATTTCAGGATTGAACAAGGGCAGGGCAATATGTATTTATACATGTGTATCGTTGTCAGACTATATGGATAGTCGGGCCTCGGTGACAAAAATGATGAAACAACATTGTGTTTTTTCAGTGTCTTAACATTCAGAAGATTCATTTTATTTTAAAATGACTTTTTACAATATTTTTTTTTACAAAACTTCCATGGTAAAGTTTAGCATTGGTAAGATATTTACTTGAAGGATTGATTTTCAGAACAGAAATGCAAATACAATGTATATAAATAATAATTATTTGTATAAAATGTATTACAATTTTGAATTATAATATAAATTTAGATAGATTCATACAACTTTATTCTTGGTAGAGCTAACTTGTAAGAATATTTAATGGAATCTGACTTAAAGTAAAAAAAATATTTATCATTAGTGGGTGGGGTAATGTTTTATACCAGTCTAAATGATGATGTATAGATTATGCAGTGTTGCGACTTTTTGAATGTAATCAACATTGCTTGAAGTGTTTTGGATTAAATAAAGCATGTTTGTGTATTAATGTGTTACTTTGTTAATGACCATATTTGCGTAGAATATCAGGGTTATTTAATTTCACAGATTTTTCTAATTGAAAACACATGATTTCAAAACATGACATTTTTAGCATTTTATACTTCGAATTTTTTTGAGGACTTTTTTCCTGTAGCAACACATATAAAGTAGATAACAAATATGTAAATATCTTTTCTAAAGGAATTTGTTTGAGGTTGGGTCTTATTTTTGGCTAAAATGCCTAGCCTAGAACTATATTTTTCACTTTTTGTAAAATCAATCCACCTGATCGACTGTCATTGATAACATACTAGTAATTACAATTTCTCCGTCGATGACTGACTTCAAATACCATTATGACTTCTTACTCAGCGGAAAGAGATAATTTACCATTTGTCGGAGAGAAATTTGATCTCGCCCGCAGATCGGACCAACAACCCCTGGTTTACAAATCCGCTGCTCGCCCGACAGAGCTTATCGGACTAACTTTATTATTATATAATTGATCTATCTCATATCAATATTATCTATGCGCGTCCGTGGCTAAGTGTTTAAGATCTGTTGACATCAAACCACGTGTCCCTATCCGACGTGGGTTTGAATTTCGCCAGGTAGTTTGGATTTCTTCTTATGGGGGAGGGGAGCTATACAGCTAAATTACGGAACGTTGTTGTTTTTAAATGCCAACTAGTGTCTGAAAGTGCACTTAGAGACACTTATATCTTTTCTGTGTTAAATTACTGAAATATATTTTTAGAACATTTTAGGTCCCGCCATGATGTACTTTACCTACAATATGAACACGAGAAAGTCGTGCATTTCACTAGTTTGTGTGTTATGTTTGATAGTTCTTGTGGTCTACATTACATCAGAACGGCAACTGATGGCATTTTATGTTGAAGGTATATATTAACTAATTGTTTTATATATTAATATATTAACGGCAATTGATGGCATTTTATGTTGAAGGTATATATATTAATTAATTGTTTTATATATTAATATATTAACGGCAATTGATAGCATTTTATGTTGAAGGTATATATATTAATTAATTGTTTTATATATTAATATATTAACGGCAATTGATGGCATTTTATGTTGAAGGTATATATTAATTAATTGTTTTATATATTAATATATTAACGGCAATTGATGGCATTTTATGTTGAAGGTATATATTAATTAATTGTTTTACATATTAATATATTAACGGCAATTGATGGCATTTTATGTTGAAGGTATATATTAACTAATTGTTTATTATATATATTAACATCACATAATTATCTGTTTAAATTCACGGGTTTTATGATGTTTTCCCACTGAGGTCCAATAGCTTAAAGGTACTCCACTGAGGTACGGCCGAATGTCACAAAAAAAAGTAAAATTTCACGAACCGATAATTTTTTGTTACCTGCGTGTTAGCGACATTCAAACATAATCAGTGATACATTGATATGTGTTCTTTGGATTGGCAAATCGTTTGAAATACATATATTCTCCAATTTTGTGGGAAAAGCGTTTAAACACCTTTCAGTCTGCAAATCTGAATAAAAACAACGGTCACGTGATGATTCTCCGGATGACTAAAAAGCGAAACGGAGATTTTTTTGTGTATCGGCAGCAACGAAAGTGTGAAAGTGAAATATACCAACAATCCATGGATTTAAAAGCAAATTATGGGTTTGTTTGTTAAATTTCTTGTTGTTCACATATGTTCTTGTGAGAAAAATCTTTCAAAAGCAATTTCAATATATTTAGAGCATTACATTATTGTAATCATGTTTGTTTTTCTCCATTACAATGATGAATTTAGCTAAACGTACGGAGTTGGAAACTGACATACACAAATTTTACAAATATTCTATGTTAATTTGAGAGCTTTCGTGTAATAATTAAATATTATGTATTAACTTTGTAATGGTTAAAATATCATGATATCTAGGCTAAGAAAATTTACTTTGTCAATCAGTGTAATGGGTCCTATTTCGAAGGTCACTTTGGTTTATCTGACACCCGTTCAGGAAAAAAAAACTAATACCTTTTATACAGCGAACAAGAACTTGAGTATTGTAAGCATAAAAAATCACACGCACACACAGAATGTTATTCCAGAGATTTCTCTTTAACTCTGATCAAAGTACTGAAAGCACTGGCTAAAAAGAGAATGAATCCGGCCTCATTATAGGACATTTAGGCTTCAACTTTATTAGTTTATATTTCTTATGTATGTCTAGTGCATATAATTAAAATTCTATAAGAAAAAATCGATCTCCTTTGCTAGATAGATCTGAAATTTAATATTTATCATTTTACATAAATACTTGCATATTTATCCGCATTGGATGTAAACTTTGTTGATGAGTAGATTACTACGTTTTGATCTAGACATTCAAAACTATAGGTAATTGATACCTGTTCCATGCACATGGTAAACATTATCAAGAAGGTCGGAAAAGAGTTACAATCTGGCTCTATTAATATTATCATTATCATTATTGATTTAGCAGATATCCTGATAAATTTCTTTTTCATTGGAAGGCCTCCATACTAGTGATGGGTCAATTGAGTTGTGCTTTAATGTTACCAATATATTGAAGCTTCCCGGTGGAAAAGAAATTGAGAGCGTTATAAGAGTAAAAAAGGAAAACTGCAATAAAAACAAACAAGGCGACGGCAACGTTCACAGGACGCAGCCCCCGACACAGTCAAGCTTCCACAGCAGGGTTATTGCCGTGACTAGTGAAATAAACTTAAAAACTGATTATATAGTTGTTGTTTTTTAAACCCTAACTTTCTTTCAAATTAAACGAAACAAACAAAATCATGATACTTGCAAGACAAATGTGAAGGGCAGGTAAGTAAAAGTAACTTTACGAATTCAGTAAGATATTATTAACCTCACCTCATACAACAACCATTGCTTAAACTATGTTTTATAATACTTCCAACTCCTAGACGGTATACAAACTTGGGAAAGGGCAATGTATATCTTAACCATTGTATTTACTCCTTATAGCCTGTTTAGCATGGCATACTCATTGTTAATAGTTTTGTTAATATTTTGATAAAAAAGGTCAGGTTCATTTCCCGACTATTTTGAAAACACGAGTGACTGGTTTCTAAAACTGCAATGGCTAAATATTGATCAGGTGCATTTCATTGCATAAATAAGTTAGGACGAGAACCTTTTCTAGCTTTATAGCACTAATCCCTTTACTTTTCTCTTCTTTTGTCTCTTCTTTCTTCCTGTTTTCATTTTTTTGTTTAGTCTTTTTATTTACCACTTGAAAGCCTGAAATTAAATTTTTCATTGATAATTTAGCTGTGGTCCTGTGTTGCTTGGTCGTGTGGGTGTTGCATTCATTGAATGTTACCATTCCTTTTTGTATTTCTGATCGAAGGAAATACAAAGCTAACATTCAATCTCTGACACAGCGGTTTCACGACAAACCTAACAACAAGCAGTTCTTAAAACAGCTGAAAACTAGCGATTTAAAAGAAAGAAATATTTTCATTTTGTTATAAGTATCCAACAAATTACAACGCATTCAAAGTTTAAAAGTAGCTTTGGGTTATAGAATTGTCAATGAATGCACATTCACAAATTACGTGGATGAATATCATTTTAATCAATGAAAATGCTATTTTAAGCGATGTCGAAAGCGTATATCACAAATAAATCTGACTGTCGAGTAGTGGAATATATACATGTCGGACTGTTTTGGCGAGAAGATTTTTGTTAAATGATTTACATCAATGTTAAACAACAGGTTTATCTTGAACAAAAAACTTCGAAATTAATAAGGATTACAAACCCGAAATGCAATGGAAAATCAAAATTTAGTATTACTTGATTTTATCCAGGCAGTGTTCGTATATCTTCTCCGTGGTGCGAGGGTAACGCGCTCGTTTAGTGTGTCTGGGGTTCAAATCCAATTCAAAGCAATTGGCTGTTATAAAAATGAACATAAATGATTTTTTGATGCAACTCTAGTCATGCAAATTTCCATATGTATCAAACTCTGATACCAAGCAAGAAGAATTATAGTACGTAAAAATAAACTTATACAGGAAAATAATACAGTTATACAGTGCGATTTAGATTGCAAAGATCAATTAATCTTCCTAAGTATTTCGGTTATAGTGATTATACCATAATCCAACGTTAAAGGTCTCCTAAAAAATGTTCTTTGGAATTAAATACTAAGTGTGAGCACTAGAACATAAAATATGAAAAACAAGATCAACAAGGAAAGGCGGCGTTCAATGAACGCAACCCCCATATGACCCAGCAACAAGAACCAATGGCAAGGAGCCCAGGCGGACTGCTTGCAAAATCTTTATCGGCAGGATAAATTGGTTCACAAAACATAATTTTTCACAGTCATGATCAAATGATCAGACTGTCATTTTCTTCCTGAAACTGATAGATACGAACAGACTGTGATTTTCTTCCTGTTACCGAAAAATACACACTAGGAAGATTTCAAGTAGAAGAGACGTCACTGACAGAATATTTGAATAGAAAAGAATTTGCTAAAGCCAATTTATGAAAGAAATCGGGGATGCTTCTTATTAAATTATTTGCCATAAAGAGGGTTTATATTACTCGTTTAGATTATTTTCAAAAACAAAAGTTCTTCAAAAAGCAAAGGTTAGCTGATATTAAGATGTAAACCGCGACATATAAAATTAATTTACCTGTGAAACTGGAGTGAAAAATGTGTTAGTTTATCCGGGTTTTCTTCAGTGCCTTCAGCACTTTGATCTTATATGTAGTACAAGTAAACTATATCGTTTTCACCGAAAAATCATTAAATTCTAAACAAGTTTTAATAGAATCATAAACATTTATTGTATCATAGTTTGAAAACATTTCTGTTGAAAACGTTCAGAGTTAAATCAAATTCATATACATGGACAGTGCGTAACTGAGAGTGCAGGTAATAGTTCCAACACTCCAGAGCATGCCATTGATGTACTCATTCTTTTTTCTT